TGCGCCAGTTACCAATACCAGCTATAGGAAATAGAAGAACCATCACCCTAATTATAACCGATCACATCCTGCATATTATGTAAATTTGACACTATATCTCATTTTCCAGTCATATGAATTTGTAGCACCGGTGTCAGACCCGTCCAATCGTGATCAGTTTTACAGTATCATCTAAATGTAAGTGTTGCATGATGTGAGTGTTGCTAATGCTTGAGGAAGAGCACTGGACTGCGTTGATGAGGAAGGAAACCACCAACATATTTTTGCGATATGTCCCTTTTTATTGCAAATCTGACAGATTTCATTTTGGTAAAGCTCACGTTCTGCCGCAATCATGCGTCTTTTTCCTGGTGGAGTAGGCCGCCGTGGTTGGCCGGAAAAATTCGTTTGATTTTGTGCTTGAAATCCACGACCTGCAGAAGAAAAAGATGATCGAGAATTCTTAGAATCATATATCGTGTTAGATCCATCGAACTGCGAGGCCTTCTTCTGTTGCGAATAAAATGCCAGATGAGGCGTATGAACTGTTAAGGAGGAATTTACAGAGTTTGCAAACCAATTCCGCCTCTGATCATGGTTTTGAAGCTGCGAAATTAACTCAGTATAAGAGGGTCTGGGAGGTTTCAACATTGTGGTTGTAAAGGTCTCATATTGAGGACCTAGACTTGTTAAAAGACTATAGATTTTTTCTTTTTCTGAAATTGGGCGGCCAATGGCAGCCAAACTGTCACAAATGTTCTTGAATTGTCGAATATGATTGCTTATGCTGACATTATCATCTTTGTGAAGATATGTTAATTGTTGTCGAAGAGTAAACTCCCTCTCTTGAGATTCTTGAGCATACGAATCTTTCAAAGCATCCCACACAGCATATGTCGTGTCGAGTCCGATGACAAGCCCAAGAGATTCTTCGGAGAGAGTACCAATTATCCACCCTCGAAGCAAACGATCTGCCTTTTTCCAAGTTGCAAAGGTTTGGAGAGCTTGATCTATGGCTTTGTCAGAACCAGTTGGATTAATTGGAGGTTCGTCAGTTAGATGATTCAAAAGTTCTTGACTTTCAGCAAGAGCTAGAACTTGCTCACGCCAAAGTAGGTAATTGGTTTGGGTTAATTTGAGAGTTACAAAATTGCCAACATTGAGAGAAAGAGATGAGCAAGCTATAAGAGCCATTTGATAGCCTAGATTAGGCTCTGATACCAAGACAAGAAAAATGAATTTATGAACAATAAGAAATGAAGAACAGTAGCTGTTAAGGTTTTTGAACTTTATTTCACTTAAAAACAAATCATGTACAGCATTCCTCTTATTATTTCACTTAAAAACAAATCATGTACAGCATTCCTCTTATATAGAAGTGCCAAGTCTATCAAATCCCTATAAAAACGGAAGCAACTAAATCAATATATCAAAGCCAGATATAGTGGCTGTAAATACTACCAACTAAGTCAAAGAGCAAGTTAAGCAAAGACTCCAACAACCAACTTTTATTTAGCAGAGGAATAGGAAAATATTTAACCAACCTTATCTCTCCAAAAACACCTTATTGCTCCATATTTTCCACAACAGGTCCTGATATACGAACTTGATCACACAAAGACACCTTATTACTGCTGTGATCATTAACATAAATGATTGTTTATTTATTTGAAATATTAATGTATTACTTATTTAGTGTAGTGTATCCTAAGCGAGTGGGTATCTTACCTTTTAAAAGTTGTCATATCTATATATTCTCGTGTCCCGTGTCCGTGCAACCTAGCTCCTGGTATATGAGACTACTCCATACACCAAGCTAATCAACCAAGGCTTTTTCTCATTATCAATAAAAATGAAGTGTTTTGTTTTTAAAATTTATTTTTATGTCATTGAAATAAGAAATTAAGTATATATTGCTATTGCTCTAATTGAGAGAGGCAAATTGAGAGAGAGAAAAGGTCAAAATATAATTAATTGGAAAATGTTAAAATATAAAAAGTTAAAAACTTATAAGTATATATTACTGTTGTCCCTACTGTAGAAAACGTAAAGATCTAGTTTGATTTATTTTATAGAAAACGTTTGTGATAATTAATTGTTGGGCCCCCTACCTTTCTATTTTTGATTTTTTAATTTTTAATAATTAATATAACTTAGTCCCTACTGTTCCTCCTCACACATGGCAATTTTTGAAGCTTACACCTGGCTTCCATAAAATGCAAACTGCTTTGCTTTCATATATTATATAGATATAGATAGATATAGATTTTTCAATAGTGATAATAATTTTGAGAATTTAACTCATTATATTGAAATAAGAAATTAAGTGTTTTTTATTTTATGTTTATAATTTATTATAAATGATTATTTATTTATTGTCATATCTCATACGTTCTCGTGTCTCGTGTCCCATATCTTTGCAACATAGCTTCTGGTATATAAGACTACCCCCTATGTGGATCATTAAAATAAGAAATTAAATATGTTTTATTTTATACTTTGGGTTACATATATTTTAATCTAATTTTAATTTAAACTAATTATATTAAAATAAAAAATTTAGTATTTTTTATTTTATGTTTTTATTAATATAAACGATTGTTTATTTATTATCATATATGACGTACGTTCCGTATCTCGCATCCTGTGTCCATGCAACCTAGCTCCCAGTACATAAGAATATCTCGTATACCAAGGTAATCATTAAAATAAGAAATTAAGTATTTCTTATATTATGGCTTGAATTATTTATATTTTAATTAAATTTTAATTAAACTAATTGTATTAAAATAAAAAATTAAGTATTTTTTATTTATGTTTTTTATTTATTTATAAATAATTAATTATTTATTATCATAAGAAATTAAGTATTTCTTATTTGATGGCTTGACTTATTTGTATTTTAGTTAAATTTTAATTTAATTTAATGCATTATCTTGATTGGATATAACTAATAGATATTATCATGATTAAAGACATTATTTAAAAATGTAAAACAACTTATCTTTTTACAATTGTTGTCATTACACCTTATTTTTTACAATGGTACTAAATAATTATTGTCTTTCTCATACTTGGCAATTTTAGAGGCTTACGCTTGATTTTCATATAAAATAAACTACTCTACTTTTATATATTATATAGATAGATATAGATTTTTCAATAGTAATAATAATTTTTTTTTCAATAGTAATAATAATTTTGGAGAAATTTAACTAATTATATTGAAATAAGAAATTAAGTTTTTTTATTTTATATTTATTAATTTTTATTTATAAATGATATGTTTAATTTATTATGATTATCTCGTATGTTTCCGTATCCTTCGTGTCTCATGTCTGTGCACACTAACTTCCTCTTGGGTAATAAGATTATCCTCTACGATTCAAGGTAATCATCTAAAAATAAGAAAATTAAAATATTTTTTTATTTTATTAGCTTGAGTTTATATGTAATTTCAATTTATTTTAATTTAAACTAATAATTTAAATAAAATAAGTTTTTTTATTTTTTATTTATTTATAAATGTTATTATAAATGATTGTTTATTTATTATCATATATCTCGTACGTTCCGTATCTCGTGTCCCTTGTTCCTGCAACCTAGCTCCTGAACTATAAGACTATCCCATACACCAAGGTAATTATTAAAATAAAAAATTAAGTATTTCTTATTTTATGACTTAGGTTATTTGTACTTTAATTAAATTTTAATTTAAACTAATTATATTAAAATAAAAATATGTATTTTTTATTTTTTATTTTTTATAAATGATTGTTTATTTATTATCACATATCTCATACATTCCGTATCTCATGTCCCGTATCCGTGCAATCTAGCTCCTAATATATAAGACTATCCCATACACCAATGTAATCATTAATATAAGAAATTAAGTATTTCTTACTTTATGGCTTGGGTTATTTGTATTTTAATTAAATTTTAATTTACACTAATTATATAAAAATAAAAATTAAGTATTTTTTTATTTTATGTTTTTTATTTATTATAAATGATTTTTTATTTATTATCATATATCCCATATATTTCGTATCTCATGTCCTGTCTCCGTGCAACCTAACTCCTGGTATATAAGACTATCTCATACACCAAGCTAATCATCAAAATATGAAATTAAGTATTTCTTATTTTATGGCTTGGATTATTTATAATTTAATTTAATTTACTGCATTATCTTGATAGGATATAACTAATAGATATTATCATGATAAAAATATTATCTAAAAATATAAAACAATTTATCTTCTTATAATTGCTATTATTATATCCTATTTTTTTATAATCGTGCTAAATAATTGTTGTCCTCCTCATACTTGACAATTTCAAATGCTTACACTTGGCTTCCATATAATGTAAACTGCTCTACTTATATATATATATGTCCTCTCATACTTGACAATTCAAATGCTTACACTGGCTTCCATAATAATGTAAACTGCCTCTACTTATATAATATATATATATATATATATATTGGACTCTTTAATTGTCTTTTCAAAATAAATTAGGAAAAAATTTATAAAATTATTCACCTCCTTTTGAGAAATTTCGACTTTCTTAGTATAAATAAAAACAATCGAGGGAGTACTATATTAACAAGTAGGGGTGGCCATATTATGATTTTTGGAAACGGAATCGAAATTGATTCGAATCTAAATCAGAACCGGTGGCCTATGGTTCAGTTTTGGTTCCACCATTTTTGGAACCGTGAAACGGCGGTTCCAAGAACCGGCTGGAATGGTCCGGAGTCGACGATTTTTTTAGCCGATTAAAATCGATATTTGGAACCAACGGTTGGAACCGAAAATTCCAAGCAAATTTTGAATTTTATATCAAACAGCTAGAACTGGCGGTATTTTTTGACATGGTTGAGAAATTCATTGAAATATTTTATGGATGATTTTTCTGTGTTTGGTTCTTCTTTTGATTCTTTTCTCCATAACCTATGCAGTGATGTGAGCACACTAACCTTGTTTTGAATTGGAAAAAAATGTCATTTTATGGTTAGTGAAGTTATTGTTCTAGGGCATAAAATCTCAGAAAAAGGGATTGAAGTAGACAAAGCCAAGATAGAGGCAACTGAAAAGCTACCGCCTCCAAATTTAGTGAAGGAAGTAAGAGGTTTTCTTGGTCATGCAGGTTTCTATAGGAGATTTATCAAGGATTTTTGAAAAATCATAAAACCTCTTTGTAATTTATTAGTTAAGGATGTTCCTTTTGATTTTAACAAAGAGTGTTTGAATTCTTTTAATAGGTTGAAGAAGGAATTGACCAATGGTATGCCGATGTAGTTAACTATCTTGCTTGTAAGATTACTCATCCCAATCTTTCTTATCAACAAAAGAAAAAATTCCTTCATGATCATAAATATTACTATTGGGAGGAGCCTTTCTTGTTTAAGTATTATAGTGACCAACTCTTTCGACGATGTGTGCTGGAAAAAGAGATGGAAAGTGTTCTTCATTTAGTGACCAACTCTTTCGACGATGTGTGCTGGAAAAAGAGATGGAAAGTGTTCTTCATTTCAGTCATTCAATGGAATGTGGAGGATATTTTGGAGCGAGCAAGACGGCGGCATGTGTTTTAGAAAGCAGTTTGTATTAGCCTAACTTATTTAAAGATTTTTTTAACTTTTTTCATCTTTGTAATTATTGTCAAAGGTTAGGAAATATCTCTAAGAGACATGAGATTCCATTGAACAATATCCTTGAAGTGGAGATTTTTTATGTTTGGGGTTTGGATTTCATGGGAACTTTTCCATCTTCTTATTCTAACCAATACATTTTAGTAGCAATGGATTATGTCTCTAAATGGGTAGCGGCCGCTGCTTTTCCCAGCAATGATGCCAAGAATGTGATGAACTTCATTAAAAAATACATCTTCACACGTCATGGTACTCTTAGAGCAATAATCACGAACGAAGGTAAGCATTTTTGTAATAAGTACCTAGATTCTCTTCTTTCAAAATATGGTGTTACTCATCATGTAGTTATCCCATACCATCCACAAATAAGTGGACAAGTAGAGGTAACAAATAGGGAGATCAAGAAAATATACCATCCACAAAATAGTGGTCAAGTGGAAATTTCAAATCGAGAACTTAAGTGGATTTTAGAGAAAACTGTTAATGCATCTCATAAAGATTGGTCACTTAAATTAGATGATGCACTTTGGGCATATCGAACGGCATTTAAAACACCAATTGGGATGTCTCCATACCATTTGATTTAGGACAATCAAGGACTAGTCTAAGAAGCTCGATGACGCACTTTGGGACTATAGAACTGCTTTTAAAACACCAATTGGTATGTCTCCGTATCAAATGGTCTATGGTAAGGCATATTGGGCAATCAAGTTTCTCAACTTTAATGCCAACGGGGTAAGTAAAAAGAGGGTACTTAAATTGAACATGATGGATGAAATGAGGCTCCATGCTTATGAAAATGCCAAAATCTATAAAGATCATACTAAACAGTGGCATGATAAGCAAATTATTATGAGGAATCTAAAGGTCGGCCAACAGGTATTGCTCTATAACTCTAAGCTTCATCTTTTTCTAGGAAAATTATGCTCTAGGTGGTATGGACCATTCACAATCAAAGAAATTTTTCCATATGGCGCGGTTGAAATAGTGAGTGGAGACTAGAGTTTCAAAGTCAATGCACAATGATTGAAAGTTTACCAAGATGGAGGCTTTGATCAAGTCAAAACCACCATAAGTCTTGCCTAAATTGGGTTTAGTGCGTCAAGCTTAACAACGTTAAACAAAAGTGCTTATGGGAGACAACCCATCTTCTTTTCTTTAAACTCTCCTATTTTGATTTATTTTGTTACTTCTTTTTATCATTCTCCCAAATTTTTAATCATTCTTGTTCTTGTATTATTAGTCCAATTTTTTCAGGTAAAAATTGAGGCTCAGGCTCTATCACGCCCTAGTCGTGTTGCATAGCACGCCTATGTCATCTAAAGGGTGAATCCTTTTCAAATCAGAGGTTGGAATGCCTAAGCCATGCCAGGTAGCGTGCTAGTGACAGGTAAATAAAATTTTTTCTCGCAAGTTCAAAGGCTAGCATGCCCCAGGCCGTGCCAGATATCACTCTCATGCGAAGAGGAGCTGTCGATCTCTAGGCGTGCTCACCCCAACATGGCCCGTGCAGCCACCGCCTTGAAGGTACAGAGGCCAGCACGCCCAGGCCGTGCGAATCAGCACGTCCGTGCCACGCTACAGATCCACTTTTAAAAACAGCGTGCTGCGACTTTTCGGTTACCGCGAAAACCTTAAAGTTCCTTTGTTTTTAAAGAACACGCCCTCACCACTTCCTCCCTCAACTCTCTATTTTATTTTCTCCTGTTGATTTTCACCATGCCTCCAAGATACAAGAGAAGCAGATCTGCCACTTCAGTGGCAGTAAGAGTTTGATCCACGGTTCCCCCATCACCACCTCCTCCCATGGCTCCTACTCCACCACCATTTGAGATCGGCACGCCCGAGTAACAAGAAATGTATAATAAACTCTCTCTCCGGCTTATTTTGCCTAATTGCTTCATTGATGAGAATGCTTTAGCAAAAGTAGGACTTAGAGATGCTGTATTGGAACCTCTTAAGCGAATTGGGTGAAAAAAATTTATTGCTATGAAAGATTTCATTTATGCACCGATGACTTCATAATTTTTTGAGTTCATATTCTGCTGATATTTTTATGTTGCTTGATGAATATCCACATAAAATTAAGTTTAGACTTTTTGGCATAAATTATGAACTTCGGTGAATGAGGTTAGCAATATATTTGGTTTCCCTACTGAGAACACCCTTAAGCAAATAGCCAAAGATTTTAGTGATCGAAGAACATGGACAAAACTGACTGGAGAAAATGGGTTTAATCCTAGATTGTCAAAAGCCTTTAATTTGAGAAACCCAACATATAGGTATATTCACAAATTTTTGGCTAACACAATTTTTGGGCAGTAGTGAGAGTGATGGCATGTTAAGTCTGAATGAACTATACTTTATTTAAGCCATGGATCAGGGAGTACTTCTTAATGTTGGCTTTTGGTTATGCCAACGATGGGTTGGAATTGCAAGGCAGAGAAGGGAGCTGTTATGATGGGGTGTTTTATTTCCCGCATTGCCTCTTATTTGAGAGCGTAGAACCCTGTTCGACTGGTCTATGAAATTGTGGGAGGTGGAAAGGGTACTCGACTTGATATAGATATCATGATGCATATGAGGTTGATAGAGAAGGTAGGGGACGTGTTCCGTCTTGTGGGAACCCAAGAAGCAAGACTTGATGTTGAGGAAACTGAAGAAGCTAGTGATATTAACATGGAGGAGGATATTCCACATACCTTCCTCGGTTTTGGTACTTCTTTTAGTTTAGGTACGTCTGGAGCTGGTCCTTCCTTTCAAGGAGCGTCCGATTTGTCGAACAAAGAGGTTCTCGCGCGTATGATGTCTGGAATGGACATGTTTGATGCTCGTTTTCAAGGAATGGAGACCATGATTTCTGACCAATTCCAATCCATTGAAATTATGCATGGGAGTCTAGACTCTCACATAGATACCATTCAAGGCCAATATCAAGGAATCACTAGTCAACTTCAAACTGTGATACAATTGCTGCAGCCGCATCCACGTTCAACACCTGAGGACTGAACGTTTTTCGTTTTCCTATTTTTCTTTTTATTTTTACTGGTTTGCATTTCTTTTTATTCTTAATTTCTTTTCATTTTTTTTTGTTCATATTCAGTATTTTGGATATTACGTGCTGTGTTTTTAGTATTTCTTCTTCGTAGCTTTGACAATTTCTGATGCCTAGCTCTTATCATATCTTTTCCTTGATTTATATTGTATTTTTCAATACAATGGTTGTAATGGTCTCTCAGCTCTCATATTCTTTTGCTACATTCTTGCTAATATGATAAGATTGGGGAATTAATTTTTAGATTAAGTTGGGAGAAAGAAAATTTTAGTTTTATTTGTTTCATTAGCTTAATATGGTTGGAATAATTTTGAGCAAGCTTGAAAATTATCATAATTTAGTAACTTGTGATAAATTTATTATCATAATTTAGTAACTTGTGATAAATTTAGTTATTTTCCAGTCTAGTATGTTTAAGCTTTAATTTAAATTTTTAATTAACATGATTCTTTGATTTAGCCATTTGTTTTTAAGATCATGAACACTGATTTTTATGAATTTTATGGTATATAGGTATGTTTTACTCAAAAATTTATTTAACCTTGGCACTCTTAAAACAAATTAGAATTCCCTTTGAGGCAAAATTTTAAATGTTCACATTTGGAAAGAGATGATTTAGGCATTCTTTGATGAATTCCATATTTAGCCTAGGCCACCTAAGTTAAATTATGACCTTTGCAACTAATTTGAAGCCTATAACCAAAATTTTTCTCGTTCATCCTTATTAAGCCTAGCCATTAAACCAATTTAAATTCTTACCCTAAGTGCAATAATGTATAATTGAAGGATAATTTTATTAAAACATAGCAATAAAAGGAAATTTTTTTTTTATTAATACAAGCAAATGGAGCAATTAGAAAACTCAAAGAGAAAACACCCCATAAAAGAAGCAATCAATCAAGAATTCAAGTTTGGGGAATTGAAGCAAGAAAGAAATTATCAAAGTATTATGAAGAGACCTTGCCAAAGTACAAAGTATCTCTAATTTTGAGCCAGTGAAGAACTTCAAGTTAATCTCCCTTTACAAATAAAAATTTGTTTTGATGTAATGAAAATCTTGAGATTATGCATTCTTTGTGCCTTTTGTCTATCCTTTTATCCTTTCCCTTGTTTAGCCAAAGTATACCCTAAAACCCATTACAACCTAAATAAAGACCTTTTGATCTTTCTAATTGTGTGCATTTCAATTGTGGAGAAGGGATTACTAATTTTGCCTATGGGAAAGTTGGAATTATTCTTAAACATCTTATTTATAGGTTAAATAATTTTTGTGAAAAGTCTTATTCTATTTGTCATAGGTTGAATAATTATTGGTATTGAAAATCTTATTAACTTATGTTTAAATTAAGGAATGTGTTTTGTTGAAAATTGAATTTTTGCGGAATGTGTTTTGTTGAAAATTGAATTTTTGCTAGAATATAATTAGCATAGGAAACACTTGATTTATTCTCAGGTTAATAATTTTTGATATTTTTTTTTAAATTGTGAATAATTACCCCCAATCATATTAAGCTAGCTTGTTAGTTTTTTTAGCTTTTGTTTTTCTTTTGTTTTTAGTTTTGTTGCTTGAGGATAAGCAATGGTTTAAGTTTGGAGAATTTTGATAGATGTTATTCTTATAGTATTTTTAATATAGTTTTCATTAGGATTTTTAGTAATTTTTATTATTTTAATTAGTTTTTATTTAGTTTTATTTATGTTTTTGTTTAAAGCTTCCTCGAATTACATTTCACTTGATCGTGGAGAATTTTTGTAGCATTTTTTACAGAAAAGAGTACCAAAGCAAAAGGCTGACACGCCCTGGGCGTGTCATCCAGCACCCCTGTGCTGTGTTCAATTCAATGGAGGTTCAGAGGCTAGCATGCCCCAGCCGTGCTAGAGAACACGCCCATGCCACAAGTAGCTGTCGATCTCTAAACGTGCTCATCCAAGCATGGCCCATGCTGCAACCACTTAAAGATTCAGAGCTTAGCACGCGCAGCCCGTGCGAGAAAGCATGCCCGTGCTGAAGACTAGATTTTGCATTGGGGCAAAAATGTTAGTTCTAGCCCGTATCGCCTCCATGAATGTGCACAAAATGTTTCTCACGTGCCAATCAAACTTAAAATCTATCAAGTCACTGGGAGAATCCTAATTTGGAAGAAATACAAAGCCTAATCAGTCTCCTACCCCAAACGATTTCTTCCTCATTAAAGATTCTGTTTCCTAAATAAAGTCGGAGTTTCCCTAAGAAGTCTATATAAAGGGTCTAATCCATTTATTGTGGAGGATCTCTTGTTTTATGTTTTCTACATAATTTTCTCTCTCTTTAAGACTTCAAGTATTCAAGTTGGTGCAAGATTCAAGGAAGCCGCTCAAGCCAATTGTTGACTAATTTTTATTTCTAAACTCTCTTTTTGTTTATTATTCTTTATGGGATTATTGACAAGCTTAATTGATTTTATTTAATTACTATGTCGAACTAAACTCAATTTACTAGTCGAACTAACTCTCATACTACAGGAGTTGATGCACCTTAATTTCTATTCCAAT